CCTGAGGAGACCAGTTGTTGTTGGTTTTGGAGGACCTGAGGAGACCAGTTGTTGGAGGTTTTGGAGGACCTGAGGAGACCAGTTATTGGTGGTTTTGGAAGACCTGAGGAGACCAGTTGTTGGAGGTTTTGGAAGACCTGAGGAGACCAGTTGTTGTAGGTTTTGGAGGACCTGAGGAGACCAGTTATTGGTGGTTTTGGAAGACCTGAGGAGACCAGTTGTTGTAGGTTTTGGAGGACCTGAGGAGACCAGTTGAGGTTTTGGAAGACCCGAGACAACCAAATGTTGGTAGTTTTGGGGGACCTGAGGAGACCAGTTGTTGGAGGTTTTGGAGGACCTGAGGAGACCAGTTATTGGTGGTTTTGGAAGACCTGAGGAGACCAGTTGTTGGTGGTTTTGGAAGACCTGAGGAGACCAGATGAGGTTTTGGAAGACCCGAGACAACCAAATGTTGGTAGTTTTGGAGGACCTGAGGAGACCAGTTGTTGGAGGTTGTGGCAGACCTGTATCTCCTGCAACAACTTTTTTGAGATGTGCTGCTGACACCAAATTTAAAAACAGTTTTGTAGTTTAAACGTTACATGTTTTTACTTTTCTTTCTTTAGTTTTTAACATTTCATGGACTCCTGCCGTACCTCATGGTTCATCTCAGAGATGCAGGTTTTATTATTGGCAGTAGAACCGTTGGCCTTCTGCTCCGACAGGAACTACGTCACCGGACTGTGCAGGATGAAGTCATCTGGATGACTAACTTCTTCTAAAACTCACAGAGTCACTCGTCTACACGTCGACTGACGTTCATGTGGAAATGTCATAGATTTCAAACTTACTGCGTGTTTTCAGGTGGACGTTAAAAAAGTCCAGAACAGGGTGCTCGTCTCAAAGACGTTAGGTGTCGTGGCTTTTAAATAAAAATACGTCAAATAATTCATGTCATTAAAACTTAACACACATATCTGCCAGTGAACTCTGGGAAATGTATGTTTATACGATGGAAAGCAGGTGTGCTGATGACTGAGTCAGGTGGTGTGCACTGGGATCAGGCGCTACCGAGGACTTCAGGAGAAAAGATAACTAACAAAATATGACCAACCCCTCCAAATAATCTCTTACATAACTGGAAATAAATAGAAAACTTCTGCTCACAAAAGCCTTTGGAGCCAGAGAGGCAGTTTAACACATGCACTTATTAAAAATTCAACATTTCATTCAGAGCCACATCACTTTTATGAAGAAGGAACTCATCTAGAGGAGCAGCGCAGATTTCACCAACTTGCAACCGTCTCTGGATTCAACTGCCCCCGTGGGCAAACGGTCCACGCCCCATCAGGTGGAAGACGGAGCCAGCGCCGAGGAGTCCCCAAAGGGAACGTGTGAATTAATGAGGCAGTCGTTCAGGTTTCAACTTAGTGAGAATGATCTCACGTTCTGCTGATGAGGAGCCAATAAACGTCCAGCAAATATTTACTAATATCAACAACTGCAGCTGCTCCGTCTCACACTCCTAAATATAAAACAGCAGCTTCACCTTTCAGCCGCCTCATAAACACACCAGGACGGCAGTTTTCACATTAATTAACCGGAGAGCACCGCCACGGTGTCGGAGCGTTGTTCCGCCGGAGAGAAACGCACCTCCCCAGGGTGGCGTCCCACAACGCCGACGCTCGATCAGCTCCACGTTCCAGAAGAAGCAGAGTCCATGCTCGCTAACAGGCCTGGAGCCAGTCCAGCCCTAAATAAAACAAATTACCATGACGGCCTGGCTGCTGTAAATAATAAACCGAGCTCTGCCCACGGAGAATAGTCCGTGAACTCATTAGTATGTTGTCCGTGCACGGGCGTGTGGATGTCCAGACGTGCAGAAGCATTGCACCCTCCTCCTCCTCACACATAAACTGAAGATTTCTGTGCCGTGCAAACAGAATAATAAAAACGTTGCGTTCTCTTTTTTCTTTCTGCAGTCTTGCACACACTCGGAGCTGTTTGGATTTACACCCCTGGTGGAAACAGAGCTCGAGAAAGGAAAGCAGCAAATACAGTAGGGAGGGCCTTCAGAGGAACAAAGCTAGTCTGCTTCTTTCAGTTGAGAAAAAAAATCGGGCAGAAATCAGGAGGGCGGTTGTAAACTTGAGGACTGACTACACTATCGGCTCCATCAAGGAGATACGAAGATCAAAACATTGAGTTCCAGCTGTGATTCAATATCCTTTAAACAGTTTTGCGAAGTTGTAATGCCATCTTTATTTATTTAAAGAGGTGAATTTAAATGTTATCCGGAAAGCTATAAAAGACACAGAGCAAATACAAAGAAAACTAAAGAGGGCCGAACATGAAGCTCTGGGGGACACCATTTGAAAACTAATAACAGACAAACTTTGAAGTCAATCTGATTCAAGATGGCCACCACAGTTAATAACCATAGCAAACATAATGGTCTTTCACTGAGGCCCTGCTCACCCCATATAAACTTTTACTCTGAGGTGAGATCACATCGTTTTCTATTTGAGTGGGTTTTAGCCCGCCTTCAGAAGTGCATTATTGATAATCTAGGTCTGACTAAACCTGGAAAATCACCTTCAAATGGTCCACCTCCCCTCCATCTGTCTGTCTTTGCTCTGAAGGTCGCGGTGACCTGATCGGCTCTGACTGCCTGACCCAGGAGGAGGTGATCAAGACCAACGCCTGCGTGAAGGCCCTGACCTACTGTGACCTGCAGTACATCAGCCTGAAGGGGCTCCGCGAGGTGCTCTGCCTCTACCCAGACTACGCCCAGAAGTTCCTGACGGAGATCCAACATGACCTGACGTACAACCTGCGCGAGGGCCACGACACGGAGGTACGGTGGAGTGGCTGTGTGCCGTTCTACGTTTCAGGTTGATTTGGGAAGAGGGACAGAAAACTCGTGAGTTCCAATAAATCTAAGAAACGAGCTTTTTATCAACACAGAAACAAAACGTCCAAATGTACACGAACGCATCATCACTAGATAGATGATCAAGTGGAGGAGTTCATGTATCTCGGGGTTTTGTTCATGACCGAGGGAAGAATGGGGCGTGAAATTTACAGATGGATTGGTGCAGCGTCTGAAATATTGTGGACTCTGTGCCGGTCCGTTGTGGTGAAGAGGGAGCTGAGCTGTAAGACAAACCTCTCTGTTTACTGGTCAGTTTACGTTCCTCCCCTCACCTCTGGTCATGAGCTCTGGGAAGTTCAGTTATCAGGAGAGACTCAGAGGAGAACCACTGCTCCTCCACATCAAGAGGAGTCAGTTGAGGTGGTTCATCTGGTAAGGATGCATCCTGGGCGTCTCCCTAGGGAGGTGCTTCAATGTCTGACTGGGAGGAGACCCTGGGGAAGACCCAGGACACACTGGAGAGATTACGTCTCTCTGTTGGTCTGGGAACACCTTGGAGTCCTCCCAGAAGAGCTGGAAGAGGCTGTGGAGAGAGAAGTCTGGACCTCCCTGCTCAAGATGCTGCCCCTGACTTGACAAGAGGATGAATGTATGGATGGATGTATGGATGGATGGAAGGAAGGGTGGATGGAAGGATGGATGATGGATGGATGGAAAGATGGATGGATGGATGGATGGAAGGAAGGGTGGATGGATGTAAGGAAGGGTGGATGGAAGGATGGAT